TCCTGTTTTCAATTTGTTTCAGTCTTTTGATCTTGTTGATTCACTTCTTCTGCTGGGTTTGGGGTTGGTCTGTTCTTCTTTTCATCTTTGAGTCATTTCATTAGATTGTCTATTGTGATCTTTTGCCTTTTGTTATACATTTCATGGAGATAAACTTTCCTTCGACAACTGCTTTAGCTGTATCCCAGAGATATGATTAACTTGTCCTCATCCATTGTCGTTTTTCTTCAATAGTAAGTTTATTTCCGTCTTGATTTCTCATTTAACGAGTATATCATTTAGTAGGAGGCTTGTTTAATTCCATGTTTTGTAGAAATGTGAGTTTCTGTTGGGGTTGAATTTTAGTTTTATTCCACTGTGATCGAGAAGGTACATGGTATGATTTCTATTTTTTAATTTCTTGAAGATTTCTTTGTGTCCTAGATATCATCTTAGAGATGTCCCGTGAGCTGATGAAGAACGATATTCGGTGGATTTGGGTAGAATGTTCTGTAGATGTTCAGACCAGATTGTTAGAGTTTTGTTTAAGTCCATATTTCTTTATTAATTTCTGTTTGGAAGGACTGTCTCGGTGCCGTCAGTGGTGTTAAATCCGGCGATTATCGGATTTTTGTTTTTGCATATTAGATCCATTCTTTAGCTTCCAGTAAGGTTTGCTTTATGAATGGGTGCACCTAAGTGGGTGCATATATATTTAAAATTGTTATTCTTCTTGTTGGACTGTGCCCTTCACCATTAGATAATGACTCTTTGTCTTTTACTAACTTTATGTTGGTGTTAAAAACAAATCGTCTGAAATTAAGAACTGCAACACACCTCTTTTGGCTTTATTCCTTGGAATATGTGATCTCCACCCTTTTATTTTAGTTATGTGCATCCATTGACAGGTTAAATGTGTTTCCTGAAGGCAGCATATACTATGCTGTATTTTCTTATCCATCCAGCCAGCTAGTCTCTTCAGTGGAAGTTTTAAGCCATTACATTCTATTGAGAGTAACTGATAGGTAAGTGTAATATGATCATTCTGTTGGTTGGATGTTGTTGCTATGAATTTCTGTCTTGAGCCATTGTAATATCTGGCCTTTAATATCTTTGGGTTTGGTTGTTTTATCACCGTGGATTATTATATAGGTTCCGTGCATAACGCTGTTTAAGTACTTCTTGTAGGCTGGTCTTGTCGGAATTCTCTGAGCCTTTGCTTGTCTGATAATTTTATTTCTCCTTCATATATGAAGCTAGTTTGCAGGAATAATTCTAGGCTGGGCATGTTTGTTTCAAAAGAGTGAGAATGCGGCCCCAGTCTCTCCTTGCTTGTAAGTCTCATTAGAGAAGTCCTGATGTTATTCGAATTGGCTTCCTTGTATGTCACTTGCTCCTTTTGTCTTACAGCTCTTAGAAGGGCCTCTTTAGTTGATACTTTGGTCAGTCTGATGACTGCATGACGTGACGTCCTGTTTGCATTGAATCTCCCAGGGGTCTCTGGGCTTCTTGGAACTTGTATATCAGATTTTGAGCAGGCGTGGGAAATTTCCCTATTATATCTTCAACAAAGCTTGTCCAGCCCTTGAGTGTTGTCACTCCCCTTCGGCTAAACCTATGACCTCACATTAGGTTTTTTCACATAATCCACAGCTCTTGTAGGCTTTGTCTTTTCTTGTTTCTCTGCTCTATTCTGTGACTGATTTATTTAATTGAAGGTGTTATCTCAAGCTCTAGATTCTTTCTTCTGCTTGATTACCTGTCTTGAGACTTTCCACAGTTATGTAGTTCTCTGAGTTGATTCTATCTCCAGGACTTCGGTTAAAGTTTTCACCTGTGTAATCTCTTTGTTGAACCTTTTTCCATTTCTTGGAGGTTTTTGTGTTTCTTGGTGTTGTTATTGAGTTGTTGTTGCAGCTGGTGAGTGTTCTTATGATCCACATACGAAATCCTTTTCTGTCTATGGTTAGCCTGATTTTGGTCGTGTCCGTTTAGGGGCTGGTGCTCCTTGGGGGTGTTTTCCGTTTGTTCTTCATATTTCCTGAGTTTTTCGCTGATCTTCTTCCCATGTCGATCAGTTTGTTGTTCTTTCTTAGGTTTTGTTTGGGTATTCACACACCTTGTTTATTTCTGAGGCGTTAGTGGCCTGTGGGTGAAATTGGACCACTCCCTGTATATTGAGTCGTGGTGCTGTGGCAAGGCTGTGCAAGATTCTGTCCCTGTCATGTAGGCTGGCGTTTGCTTTGAGGCAACAGGCTATGTTGTTGAATATTTTGAGTCGTTATCAGCTCTCGGCTCTTGGCGCGGAAGCTGGGTTGGATACAGCCTGCCCTCGGCCGTTAGCAGGGGTCAAAGTTCCTGTTCTCAGCATTCCAGGGATAAGCTAGTCAGGCCGGGCTTGATGGTCCCCGCTCCACAGAAGTCGGGTGTGGGGTGGGGCTTTCTGAGACCGCAGTCTGCCAGCAGGCTGGCTTCTTTCCACCCCCCAACTCTGCAGCTACTCCTGGCCCTCTGCCAGCAGCAGACACAAGCAACACAGGCCTCCCGGACTGTGTGCCGGCCGGGGAGGTTCCCTGCACAGGAACGCCACCTAGGTTGGGCGGCCGCTCCTCCTGGAGGAGGTTGTCCTCTAGGGCGCCGATCCGCCCCTGGAGCACACAGCCTCAGTAGGTGTTCACGTATAACCCTTCTGTGCCCCGGGCATGCTACCTCGGTGCAGGGGATCGTGTCCTGCAGGTCCGACCTCTGGGTCCCAGAGTTCAAACTGTATCCCACCAGGGAGAGGATTTCCGGTCCTAATTCACCCACAGGGAGCCCAAGTGGGTCTATGTCTCTCAGCTCTGAGTCGGCCACCGTTTTCCTGGGAACATGTGCCAGCAGCACCTGGGAGGGCGGCGGCGGTCCCAAACGGGAAGGTCCGTTCTTGGAGGTGCCGCTGGTGGCTGTATTGTCTCTCTGGGCAGCCCGGGTAGGGTCGGCGGAGGGAGGAGAGGCAATATGGCTCCTGCCGCGCGGCTCGGGTCCGTGCCAGGGAGGTCCGCCGAGGAAGTTGGGAACCTGGTGCCACGTCTGCTACAGCTCACCGTGGCAGGCGGCGGCAGTCTCTGGCTGATGTCCGCAGTCTCTCCACCCGCTGGGGAGCCCACCAGCAGTCCGAATGCAGGGGAGGGGAAACAGCAGATCCACCTACCCTTGCCGCTGGTCTCCGGTTCTCGTGGTCCAGCTCCAGTTCTCCTCTGCAGCCTCCTCCCGTGTAGTCTCCCGGGGTCTCAGGTACCCCTCCTTCCGGCCCTTGTCCACTGTATGCTTGTCTTCTTGCTTCTTTCCTCTAGTTTCTGCTAGAATCGGTCTTTTCTGCAGAGACCCTCTGTCTGGCGGTGTTTTTTGTCCGCCATCTTGCTCCGCCTCTTCGGTTTTAATATTTTTTGATGGTCCTCTTATGGAGGGGTAGGATGGGGTCCCCTCCTCTTGAATCCGATGGGCTTACGACTTCAACCAATAGTATCTGGTAAAAGTGACTCTGTGACTTTTGAGGCTAAATCTTAGGAGGCAATGTAGCTTCCTCATGGTTATCTTGAGACATTAACTCTGGGGTAAGACAGCTGTCAAGTAAGAAGTTCTACCACCCTGAGGCCACAGTGCTGAAAATGTCATATGTCAGTGCAAGCTATGTGAGTGAAGTCATCTTGGTTTCTCTAGACTACCTCATCCTGCAACTGAGTACCATGAAGTGACCTCAGTTGATACCAAATGGAGCAAAGAATTATCCAGTCAAGTCCTGACTGAAATCCTGACCTACAAAATTCATAAGATATAATAAAATTCTCATGTTTTATGCCATTAAGTTTTGAGATCGTTGGTTATACAGCAATACTAACTAAAACATATAATTTTACCATTTTCCAATCAAAAGAAAATGTCTTAATACATGTGAAAAACAAAAAAATGATACCCAGGCATACCAATATTCACTTTAAAATGACTCTTGCTATAGTCAACAAACAGTTGACATCCTTTGATACCTGTATTATTGCATGAAGCCAGAAGTCTTTACAGAAATGGTCTTTGCCCAGGGCACACCTATGGATTGTGATATGTAATACCATAAAATGTTCCTAGCTCCAAGATATCCTCCAACAGCTCTGCCTTAGTGTCTGATATGCCTTTTATCTAAGTCATTGCTTTGGCATAAAGCATCCTCTATATAGGAGGCCTGGAGCAGTGAAGACACTGCTGCCAATGGGATGGGAACCCATTATTCACCATTGGCAACCCAGAGCAGATATTGATATAAGATGATTTTTCATCATCTGTGGAAAGCAGAGAGAAAGGTCCCAGAGAAGAATGTCTAAAATTATAAGTTCATGAATGAGAAGAGTCAGAAAATCCCAAGCATAGCAGAAAGATAATTGAGGAAGGCAGCCTGAGGTGATAATCTCAGGAGGTGGCTCTTAAACAAATACTGGGTACCTAAAAGTGGGTTTGCAAAGCAAAATTAACTTATTACTATGTCTCAAGGACCAACCCTATATAGAATTACTTTGTGACAACTCTTTATAGGTAGTTGCCTTAGAAAATTTTTAGTGTTATTGTCTAATAATATTTTCTAACATTTGTATAGTACCTCACTATGAAACACATTTGAATGCTGAGAAGGCACTAAATAGTACAGTTCCTTTATATTTTCACATGAGAAGATAGATCTTCAGAAAGGTAAAATGACTTGCATTAAATCACATAGTGTCTTCAAACTTCATGACTCTTCACTGTTTCTACCACACTGCCTTCCAGACTCAAAGTTGTTTCTTCTTTATACACATCAATGTTCATTCATATTGAATGCATACAAAGCAAAATACTCTGTGTACAGGCACTGCTAATGCATTTGTTCTCTTTGCTAATTCAAACTGAAATGCTAATTGTCTTAGTCATTTTCTGTTGCTTATAACAGAATAACTGAAACTAGATAATTTATTTTTTAAAGGATTTTTTTTCTTACTATTATGGAGACTGAGAAGTCTGTCAGGGGGATGCATCTGGTAAGGACCTTCTTGCTGCTGGGGACTCTGCAGATTCCTGAGGCAAAGCAGAACATAACATGACAAGCGGGGTAAGTGTGCTAGCTCAGGTCTCTTTCTCTTCTTATAAAGGCATCAGGCTCACTACCATGATAATCCATTAATCCATGAATGTATTAATCCATTCACAAGGGCAGAGCCCTCATGACCCAATCACCTTTTAAAGGCCCCACTTCTCAATACTGCCACATTGGGGATTAAATTTCAACATGAGTTGTGGAGAGGACAAATATTCAAACCATAAAACTCATTGTATTTTATTGTAACAAACTACAAATGATTGTCCCGATTGAATTTAGAGCCTGGAATGCAGAAATTTTGAAGCATTATATGGAAACATTTTAATTATATCAGGAATTCACTTTTATTTTTTGATGGAATGCTATGTTAGAGGAAATGAGATTTACAATGTAGATCAAATGAAATTAATTAAAATAAGGTCATTTTGAAAAATACTTCCGCTGTTTTTTAGGCTGCTATCATACATGAATACAGAGGACACTAAAAAACGGGGTCCAATGTGAAATAAACTTCCCCAGGCTTAAAACCATTGGATAACTTGGTCCAGCATCAGGATACAGTGTGAGGCATAATGAGTGGGAAGCAGTATGGCAGGGCAGTGGAACACATGCTGCCCCATGAGACAAAAATCCTTGTTTATTAGTTCTTTTCATTTTGACTTGCTGTGTAGTTAAGGCAAGTGTTTCGTTGAGTTTCAGTTGCCTCATCATCAAAGTAGGGATTTATTATATTTTAGCAGGGTCAGATGTTCTCCTGAGATCCCTTCCAATTTATGGTCTAAGATTGTAATCCTTCCTCTTTGGTTTCCTTTTTCCCTCTATGGACCTTTCATTCATGAATTTATCTAAGCCCTATTGGAACTGATTTATATTTTGGCCTTCAGGGTAATGAGTTCCACTGAAGTTCTAATTCCTTTTTCTTTAAAACTCACTCCTTCAAACACCATGGGGCTGTGGAATGATGCTACTATTTCAGGACTTGTTCCAATCTTCCCAGTTCCTTGGTGACACTAAGTCCCAGGCTGACTTGAACAGTAGAATTGCAAGAGAAAAGCTGTGGGTAAAGGAAAAATAAATCTAAACACTGTCTTCATTTAATTCCTAAATCACTTGTATTTACAATCCATGAAGCATTTTCTTTGTGAATTTAAACTTTTATCCTCCAGTGTTTAGCTTAATATAAATTATTTGCATCTATGTTTATAAAGGATATTAGTCTGTGGTTTTTTGTTGTTGTTGTTTTTGCATCCTTTCCTGGTTTTGGTATTAGGGCAATGTTGGCTTCATAAAACATGTTGGGGAGGACTGCTTCCTTCATGATGTTGTGGAATAATTTTTGCAGGATAGGCACCAGTTCTTCTTTGTAGGTCTGCTAAAATTTGGGTGTGAAACCATCTAGCCCAGGAGTTTTCTTTTTAGGAAGGATTTTTATTACTGCTTCAATTTCAGTACTTCATATTTGTCTGTTCAGTAATTCTATTTTTATTCCTGACTGAGACTAGGGAGGCTGTGTGTTTCTAAGAATTTGTCCATTTCCTCCATGCTTTCAAGTTTATATGCATAAAGGTTTTTATAGTATTTGTTGATGATATTTTGTATTTCTGTGGTATCAGTTGTAATTTCTCCTTTTACTTTCCTGATTGAGCTTATTAGAGTCCTTTCTTTTCTGATTCTCATTGATCTAGCAAGAGGCATGTCAATTTTGTTTATTTTTTCGAAGAATCAACTTTTTGTTTAATCTTCTGTATCTTTTTTTTTTGCTATCAATTTCATTTAGTTCTGCTCTGATCTTTGTTATTTCTTTTTTCTGCTAGGGTTTGGGGCTGTTTGGCTCATCCTTTTCCAGTTCTTTGAGATGATTCGTTAGATTGTTGATTATGATCATTCTGTCTTTTGGATGTAGGCATTTATGGATATAAATTTTCCCCTGAGGGCTGCTTTAGTTGTATCTCAAAGATTTTGATAACTTGTGTATCCTTTACTATTTAATTCAAATAATATTTTGATTTCCATCTTGATTTCCTCCTTAACCCAATAATTGTTCAACAGAAGGTTACTTAGCTTCCATGACTTTGTGTAGAGATGACAATTTCTATTAGAGTTGATTTCTATTTTATTCTACTGTGGTCTGAGAAGATGCATGGTATAATTTATATTCTTTTAAATTTGTTAAGATATGCCTTGTGGCCTACGATATGGTCAATCTTAGAGAATGTCCCATGAGCTGATGAGAAAAATGTATATTCAGTGGTTTATGCGTAAAATGTTCTGTAAACGTTGGTCAGGCCAACTTATTGTAAATCTTAGCAAACTGAATTCAGGTGCTTATCAAAAAAATAATCCATCACAACCAAGTGGGCTTTATCCCAGAGATGCAGGGATGGTTCAACATACGCAAATCAATAAATGTGATTCAACACATAAATGGAAGTAAAAACAAAGATCATATTATCCTCTCAATAGACACAGAAAAAGCATTCGACAAAATCCAGCACCCTTTTATGATAAGAATGCTTAACAAAATAGGGTTAATGTGACTTACTTAAAAATAATTAAAGCCATATATGACAAACCCACAGCCAACATCATATGGAATGGGAAAAAATTGAAAACATTTCCACGTAGAACTAGAACCAGACAAAGTTGCCCTCTATCACCATTTCTATTCAACATAGAGCTGCAAGTCCTAGCCAGAGCAATCAGACAAAAGAAAGAAGTCAAGGGCATCCAAATGGGGACAGAATAATTCAAACTATTGCTGTTTGCTGAAGATATCATCTTATGTCTAGAAAACCCCAAAGATTCTAGATATAAGAATTCAGCAAATTCTGATCTGCAAATTCAGCAAAGTCTCAGGTTACAAAATCAATGCACATAAATCAATAGCATTCCTATATGCCAATGATAGTCAAACTGAGAACCAAATCAAAGACTCAATGCCCTTCACAATAGCAACAAAGAAAATAAAATATATAGGAATATATTTAACTAAGAAGGTGAAAGACCTTTACAGGGAGAACTATGAAACACTGAGGAAGAAAATAACACAGCATGTAAACAGGTGGAAAACCATACCATGCTCATGGGATAGCAGAATAAACATTGTTAAAATGTCTACACTACTCAGTCTTCTGCAGATTCAATGCAATCCCTCTTAAGATACCAACATCATTTTTTGCAGATCTAGAAAAAATAATTCTATGCTTCATATGGAACCAGAGAAGACCCTGTATAGCAAAAGCAATCTTAAACAAAAAGAACAAATTGGGAGGCATCAATTTACCAGACTTCATGATATACTACAAAGCTATCATAACTGAAATGCATGGTACGGGCACAAGAATAGAGCACATAGACCAATGGAACAGAACTGAGAACCCAGATAGAAAGCCATCATCATATTACCATCTAATCTTTGACAAAGTAGACAAAAACATACACTGGGAAAAGGAATCCTTATTCAGTAAATGGTGCTGGGAAAACTGGATAGCCACGTATAGAAGACTGAAACAGGATCCACACCTTTCATCTCTCACAGTGGATAAAAGACTTAGACCTAAGGCGTGAAACTATAAGAATTCTAGAAGAAAATGTTGGAAAAACTCTTATAGACATTGGCCTAAGCAAAGAATTTATGATGAAGACCACAAAGGAAATCACAGCAACAAGAAAAATAAATAAATGGGACCTCCTCTGATGTGAGGTGTCACAAGAATGGAAGAATAGGCATCACATGTACTCGCCATCAAACTGACACTGACTGATCAACACTAAGGTGCTCACACAGTAGTAATATTCTTTGGGGGTAGGGGGCGTGGGGGTGTGTAAACTCACAACTAATGGATGTGGCGAGCATTGTAGAGGGAGGGAAGGGCACAGCTCAATTTATGCTTGTGATGTTGCAAAGTCATAACATGTAACGCAAATATTTGTACCCCCATAATTTCCTGAAATAAAAAAATGGAACCTGATCAAATTAAAAAGCTCTGCACAGCCAAAGAAACTATCATGAGAAGAAACAGACAACCTACAGATTGGGAGAATATATTTGCATGTTACACACCCAATAAAGGGCTGATAACTCAAATCTATATAGAACTCAGGAAAATCAGCAGGAAAAAAATCAAACAACCCCATTAAAAAGTGGGCAAAGAACATGAACAGAAACTTTTCAAAAGAAGACAGACTAATGGCCAACAAATATATGGAAAAAATGCTCAACATCTCTAATTATCAGGGAAATGCAAATCAAAACCACAATGAGATATCACTTAACTCCAGTGAGAGTGGACTTTATCAAAAAGTCCCAAAACAATAAATGTTGGAGTGGATGTGAAGAAAGAGGAACACTCATACACTGCTGCTGGGACAGCAAACTAGTACAACCTCTGTGGAAAGTAATATGGAGATACCCAAAGAGCTACAAGTAGAACTACTATTTCATCCAGCAATCCCATTACTGGGTATCTACCCATAGGATAAAAAGACATTCTATAAAAAAGACATCTGCACTCGAATGTTTGTAGCAGCACAATTCACAATTGCAAAGATGTGGAAATGACTCAAGTGCCCATCAATACATGAGTGGATTAATAACATGTGGTATGGAGTACTATTCAGCTATAAGAAACAATGATGATATAGCACCTCTTGTGTTATCCTGGATAGAATGGGCTGGAGCCCATTCTATAAAGTGAAGTATCCCAAGAATGGAAAAAGAAACATCACATGTACTCACCATCAAATTGGTATTAACTGATCAGCACCTAGGTGCACATATGGGAGTAATATTCATCAGGTGTCAGGCAGGGAGGAGGGGGAGGAAGGGATGGGTATATACATACATAATGAGTGTAATTTGCACCATCTGGGGCATGGACAGGCTTGTATCTCTGACTTGGGTCTGGTGAAGGCAATATATATCCTAAACGTTTGTACCCCCATAATATGCCGAAATAAAAAATTAATAAAATAAAAATTGAGTTTATTTTCTTGTTGTTAGATAACTTGCA